GCAGGGGCGTGTAATGGTGAGTTGTGTGCTGGGGCTCGGTGGCAGGTCTAGCTCTGTGTGGCCTGCCACGGGACTCCTTCTGCTGGCGCTGGTGACGTGTGACCGCCTCTCCCAGGCGCTTGCCTGGATGCCGGCTGCACGCACAGTCTTTCTCAAGGGCCAGACGGTGGGAGTTTGACTCGATGAACCAGGGAGTCTGTGAGCAGCTTGTGTGGTTTCTGTCTTGTGAGCCCCTGCATGTCAACCCTGTCCCCCGGGGCTATGCTCTCTTGAAGGAGGAAATGCCTCTTCAAGAAGATCTCCAAGCAGTCAACTGTTCTGCACACCAGCCGGAGCTTCTCCTCCGGCCTCCATCACTCCCTGTCCTCAAGTGAGAGCCTCCCAGGGTCTCCCACGCACAGCCTGTCTCCCGGCCCCACAACTCCTTGCCGCAGTCCTGCTCCAGACCTCCCACCAGGTAGGCCTTGGTTCGGCTCGTCGCCCGGCAGGTTGCCTCTGGGACTGGCTGAAGTGTGTGAATGCCAAGTGGACATGACTAGTGCTTGTGCTGCCGGGCTGTTGGCTGTTCCTGCCGCTGGGCAGAGGCCTGGGGACGCTTCTGGGTCTGCGTGGCTTGCTCTGGGGCACGTGATAGATGCTTTAAGCCTGCACCAACCAAAAGGCAGCTGGACCTGGGTCCCTGTGTAACTTGGAGGCTGCAGCACCCTAGAGTAAGGTGGCCCGGTTTGAAGGAGCGGCCTGAGTTAGCCGTGGTCTGGCTGAGGGCTGCGACTGCTCAGGCCGATGCTGGGATCTGCGACTGGCATCTGGTCCCGGCCCCGCGGCGTCCTCAGCAACGCGAGCACAGCATCTTAACCGAGCGTATTGTTCTTCTCTCTGGCAGACGCTGTCTCCCCGCAGAGCACGTCCCCCTCCTCCAGCACCCCCACCTCTCCCGCAGGACACATCAGACCGAGCTCTCTGCACGGGCTAGCACCGAAGCTCAGTGGTCAGCGCTACAAGGTGGGGCGCCGGAAGTCCACCAGCAGCATCCCCCCGTCCCCTCTTGCATGTACCCCCGCCTCGGTCCCGCAGCCGCCTTCTCCCCAGAGGTCTCCATCGCCACTGCCAAGTTACACCAGAAACGTTCACTCCTTCCAGGGCAAGACGCTGTCTCCCCCCACCATTGTTAGGCAAGTGTCTCGGCCCAGGAGCGCTGAAGGCCCCAGGTCCCCTCTGCTAAAGCGAGTCCAGTCAGCAGAGAAAATAGTCAGCTACATGGCAGAAAAGAAGACGGTCAGCAGTCACAAGCTCACGCTGGAAATGCCTCCGAGTGATGGGGCAGGGGAGGAGCTGGGCGGGGGTGAGAGTCCTGTCCCGGCTCTGCCTGGGGAGCACGGTGCAGGGGCCTACCCAGGGAACCCCCGGCTGAGGGACTGGCCAGGGGAGAGGCACGACCGAGACCAGGAGCTTGTCATTATGAGGAGGCTGAACCTGTCGGAGCGCCGGGACTCGTTTAAGAAGCAAGAGGCTGTCCAAGAAGTGAGCTTTGATGAGCCCGAGCTGCTGCCAGTCAGCGAGGATAGCGTGAAAGCAGAGCCCGAGCAGGACAGCGAGTGCATGCTGTGGAGACGTGTTCCTCACACAGCTTCCTGGGTGGAGACCAGGCAGCGGTCAGTGTCTGGGGGCTCTCCAGAGCCCCCCAAACCAGAGCAGAAGCCCACGCAGGTGCCCCAGATAGCAGTTCAAGGGTCAGAGAGCGATGAACAGGAGACTAATGCTGCCGAGTGGGAGTGCCAAGGGTCTTATCCCATCCAGCTGATGGCCAGGGTTTACACCGAGCAAACAGACGGGACTACAGCAGTGGAATACAAGAGTGTCTCCTCCCAGCGGAGAGACAGCCGGGAGCAGAGAGAGCTCGGCGCGTGGCAAGAGCCCTCGCCAGCTGCCGGGCCCTTGCACAGGACCTGTAGTGGCGAGGAAGCGGTGGGCTCCCCTCGGCCAGCCCAAGCCTCTTCTGGGCTGCTGTTGTGGGAGACCACCGGGACCCAGGAGCACGAGTGCACAGATGCTGGGATGCCCAAAGCAAGCCAACAGGAATTGCACGATTGCACTCGCAAAAAAGCCAAGGATGAGTAATGGCCGTGGCTTAAGGGAAAAACCCAGCTGCACGTGAGCATGCAGCAAGGTGAGAGGGTTTCAGCTCTGCGCGGACTCCGCGGGGGATGAGCTTTCACAGAAGCACGTCCGTGTCAGAGACTGGTACGCCGCCCGGTTGTGCTGCACGCTTCCTTCTGTACCCGTGTGTTGGACTTTGACCTCTGTGAGACCGTGTGCAGCCGAAACAGTCTGCATGTCATCCCCGGCGGGGGGTGGGTATGACCCAATGACTACTTATAAAAGGCTTTTTGTACTAACTGGAAAGATGTCCCTATTTTTGTAGAGCAACGGCAGGTGGCTTTTTTGTGGTAACAGCATTTTTGTGACAGGCTTGAGGGCTTTTGTAAATAGAAAGGACTGGATCCAAATCTTTAGAACTAATTTATTACTTTTATAAGCTACGAGGAGGAATTGTGAGATCTGTGGGGGGGGCTCCCCTGACCTGTGCTGGAGAGGGAGTCACGGTTGTTTTCCAAGTGGTTCGTAGTCCCACCCCGACGGGCACCATTGGTTTCCTGATACTTCTGAGGACCGCTTCTTGCCCGTGCTATTCCTTTGACTCCAGGTGGCCAGGCCCAAAGGGAGTGGTGTGGGGCTGAGCCGTTAGGCGTGGGTCCTGGGCCGGGGTTAGTTGTGCTGGGGCTCTGATCATGCAGGCAGGTATTTTCTTTCCCCCTTCCTAGAAGAGCTGGTCTCCCCTGAAGGAAAAAGTGCTTGATGCTGGTGGCAGGAGTGTAGGCAGTGCTGTCCTGGCACAGACTAGACGTCCATCTAATTCGGTGCCCTGCTCTCTCCAGCGCCCAATTCCAGGTGCCTCGGAGTTGAGCACAATTTCCCCTTTGTTCGGTGTGGTTGGTTGGGAAGAAAGCGAAGGAAGTTTAATGGTTTGTAAATCTACTCAGACAAAATTTGGTTCCCAGCAGTAATGGGGTTGTCTGGTGCTGAGGTCGCTATTATCTATTTTGCCCCCCTCGGGTTTTTTAGCCCTGTCTGGGGCCTCCTGATGCTGCTGTAGCTCAGCCAGGGGGTTGCAGACGGAGGTGCGGCGCTCCCTCCCCTTCGGTGCGAGCGAGTCCTCCCTTAGGCAAGAGACCCGGGTCGCAAAGCTCATCAGATCTGTCCCGCAGTTCTGGAGTCCCAAGCAGGAGAGCTGGCATTTGTCTCTTTCAGCCAAGATTTCTGTCCTGCTCTGGGCAAAAGGAGAGGCCGTAGGGATCAGGCTCCAGGCTGGGCTGGGCTGGGCTGGATGCCTCCTGCCCACGCTCGTCACTCGCTGCAGGGCTGATTGTGCTGGGACCTGCAGATGCTTCCCCAGCAGCAGAGCGGGCGGCGGGCTCTGGAAGCGCGCAGCGGGGGGTACTCTGAACAACGGCCCCTGGAAAAAGCCCACTGTTAGAAGTGGAGTCTGAGTGTGATCAGAAAATGAGGCCTGTTTTGACTGAAATGATGCTTCCTCCTTTGCCGTGAGACTGCAGCACGTGAGGACTGTTTTGCCCATCTCCGGGCTGCGCTTTACAGAGAGAGGCTCCGGGTCCTGCCCACAGGCTGGACCTGCCAGCAAGGCACCAGGTTCAGGTACCTCTAGCTGGCTTTCACCTGGGCTTACCTACCCCTGTTTCCCAGCTGGTTCCCGGTCCCATCACAGCACGCTCCTGGACGGCAGCAGAGCAGGGAAACCTGTCAATCTGACCGGGCAAGAGCGTCTCCCAAAGCATTTTACTGCAACCGGAAACCAGGAAGGAAAGCAGCCTTTAGCATCACCTTCCCTGGCAGCAGTTGCACACTTAGCCCCTTTCCATTTCAGAAAGCCTCTGCAATCTCTTCCCCCATTTCTCCATCCAAACCTTGCCCCAGTAAGCAAACCATAACGGTTTCCCCTGCGGTTTCCTCACTTGCCACATGTGTGTTCTTGCCCTGCTCCGCACAGCTGGGCTCTGGGCTCTCGGCAGCGGCCCCCAGGAGAATAGAGCAGTGCCCGCTGCCAGGGCAGTTTTTCCCTATAGTTAAGTTTGCCAGGTTAGCATTAGCTTAGCATTTGACTTTTTCCTTTCCATTTAGAGGTCTCCCCCCTGCCTTTTTTTTTTTTTTTTTTTTTTTAAAGACAAGAAAGCAAAACAACTCTCAGTGCTTGGACTGCCACAGGCTGCCCTGGGTGCGCTTTTAGAGGTCCAGGTGATGAACCTATACTTTGGTATTAATGATAGGGTTTTGTAAAGGGGGCTTATGAATATCCTTCTTTAGAAATCACAGACAATGAGGGTGGGACGGGACCTCAGGAGGTCACATCTAGTGCAACCCCCTGCTCCAAACAGGACCAGCCCCAACTACATCATCCCAGTCTCCCTGGGTCTTTGTATAACACTAGTAAGGATGGCAGCACTGACTGCACTGCCTACTCCTGTCCTCTGAAATCTTTCTTCAGGCCTTGGGTGAACAATGGGCTTGCAAATAAGATAAGATAGGTAAGCTGGAGGTTTGCAAGATCTGTCAGATCTCAAAGCTCATTCAAGGCCGGGTTTCCCTGAGCCTGATGAAAAGTGGTGTTACTGCTCGCTTGCAAACGATTTGATTAAAGAAAATTCTGGCAACTTTCTTTTAAACGGGATTAGTTTTTTATGTACAGAAAGGGTTTCATTAGAGGTTTTAATGCTTTTTTCCCTTTTAAAGAGAGAAATAAAATAGTTGTGAGTCCAGAGAAATGAATCGGATAGGCTGTCTTCTCTGAAATGTTCTGTCGGAGGCTGCGCTGACTAGGGGAAGCACAACTGGAATTTGTTCATCCATCTCCCTCCTCCTCTGGGTTGCGTTTCAGTATTTTGATAGCAGCATTAACCGTTTCTGTTGTCGGCTTGCCGTTCCTCTGCCGTGTTCTACATAAACCTGGTTTCCAGAAACCACCTTGAGGGCATGCAGCCATCCCGCAGTCGCTCCTGGCCGGACAGGCCGAGCGCTTCAGCTAACGTCCTGATAAACTCCGCTCCACGTTTCTTAAAACCATTTTAAATGGAATTTCTAAATTTGCTTCTCTTTTTGCGCTAACTGATTTTGTATGAAGTAAAAGTCCCGCTGGCATTTCCCAGCCTTTCTAATGTTTTATATGATGTAAATGTTTACATTTGATAATGCATGTGGATTTTTTTTAATTGCAGTGTTTGGAGAAACTGACAGTGAGAGTATTGGACTTCTATGTCGAAATGCACTTATTTATATTCCCCCTTGTACAGTTTGTATTACAATGATATGTAGCCACGTGCACAGTTGTCAAAGTGGGGTTTTTTTGTATAATACTAACGTCTGTGCTGTTCTGTAGCACAGGTCTCACTGTGATGTGATGCATTTTCCTGCCCCACGCTCAGAAGTATCTTGTGACCCTGCCTTTTTGTTTTGAATGTTTTCTTTTTCTTTGTGCAGTTCACGTAAGGCCATTTAAATTAATTGCTGCTCCCGTGTTGATCCTTGCAGTTGTAAATCCTTATAGCTGATGCTTATAGCCCACAAAACAAGCCAACACTTAAGCTGGTGACCAAAAGCATGCGTTGACTCTGTCTCATCGGCCTGTGGAGGTGCAGAAACGTTTTCTGGTCCTGGGGCTTAGTGAATAAAATAATTCTGTCCCAGGTAATGATGCAGAATAAAATGTCTTTGCTTCCAAAAGCCTCTCGCCAAACTTGCTCTCTGTTGTAACCCTATTTCTTCAGGACTGGTTGTTTCCTTTTCCCAAGTCCCTCTTAAGATTGGTCACCTGCTTGCTTCCTCGGCCTGCTGTCTGACCCACTCAAGAAGCTTAGCACGAAGAAACTGGCATCTCCTGAGTGGATCTCAATAAACCAGTGATGACAGGACTGTTTTGTAAAAGTAGAACTTCTAATTGCGGGTTTGGGATTTTTATGGAAAATGTCTAAAAAGAAAACGGGACCTGGTCTTCCTGTATTGTGCTGCAGCTGGGTCTCATGAATCTATTCAGAAAAAATTCATGTTGTATTAAACGTGTTCCTTGACTTGGAATGAAAATGCGTTGTCCTCTGTGAAGTGAGTAACTTACCTCAGCAATCGGAGCAGACACTTTCAAGAATCATTTTTTTAGTTGGTTTTTTGGGGTATTTTTCCTGCATGTTCCCGTAACCGATCTTACGCCCCCGAGGCAGCCGCAAGGGCAACGCCACGGGAAGTGACCGGTGTCTGGCTCCTCCTGCTCTTGTGATTTCCTGCCTAGACAACGACTGACCGCCCAGCGGGAAGCAAAGCCTGCCTTGCACGAGTAGCTGTTACAACGAAGGAGCGGAAACGCGGCGGCTCGCGCTCCGGTCGGACGGGCGCAGGGCGCAGCTCGGTCTGGTCTCTCGCGGAAGCAGGCGAGTGAAGGAGGCTGCCGGCTGTGAGCAGGATCCCAAGGTGCTCGTGGCCGACAGCAGCCGCCCCGGTCGTTTGAACTGGTCGCGGTCCGTCACCAGATCCCGGCATCGGCTTCGCTTCCCAGAAAGCTCTAAGGGTGGATTTGAAGGAGGATCGCGAGATATGTTTGACTGTGTCTATACTTGAGATCCTCCCAGATACGAGGGGCAGAATGGGGGAAAGCAAAAAGGTTCTTGCTTTAAATGTAACAAGGGGAGAGGGAGGCTGTCATTGCTGGCCAGCCAGGCGCAGTAATCTGCATTTTAGTGCTGAGATGTGCATGGGGACAAAGACCTTTCCAGATGGCCTAAAGCATATGGTCCATATAGTGACAAGGCTGCTGAAGAAGAATGTCTGGCATTTGAAAGTTTGTCTAACTCTATCCCAAGTACATAATTGGTTCAATTAAAAAGATAATACCCAACTAAATCCTTACCTCTCTTATAATTCCTGGACCATCTGAGCTATAACATCACTCGAACATGACCAAGACTTCTGTACTAAGAAATCTGCATCCAAATAAAGTGGGGAAGATGTCCCTCTAACACCAACAATTTATTTTAATGGATGTAATATCATTTACATGACGATAGGCAAAGTGTAAATAAAGGCGGCAGTATTGAAACCTTTTATTTCTCATCAGTTTGGTCCCTTTTAAATACTGGGAAAATACAGGGGTCTTCAGTCTTTTAACAGCGGTGGGCCGCTGTTGATCTCCCATTAACGAACAGTTTCTACCCCAACATCATTATCCAGCGCTAACGATAGATTGCCCTAACGACAGACAGATTTTGTTCCACATAGCATGTTTATAAATAAATGTACTTTCACAATAGAGAAACCTGACAGCCGATGCTCTTGATCCCCAGCACAGCTTGAAAGGAAAGCTCAGTACGGTGCTGGTTCGTGGGATCTTGGGCTAGGACTAGTGGATGAAACGGCCTTTTCCTGGTTCTAGATCGCAGCTCGGCCACGTTCTTCTTTCATTTTATCTGTGCCGTTTCTCGTGGGTAAGCTCCAGTTACACGGACGTAGCACGTACTTCAGTGAAATTACAAGAGGAGTGAATTCAAGAGGGGGCTGGACAGATCCTTGGCTGGGGCGATATGACCCGGCACCCGTTCCTGCCCGGGCAGGGGGTCAGGCCTGATGATCGGTTAGGTCCCTTCCGCCCCAAGTACTATGAAACACTATGAAGTGAATGAAGCTCCTTTAACGCGGGGACGTTTCTTGGGTGACCCAGCTCGAAGGGGATTCCCGTGCCTCTCGGCTTCTCGGCTACCATGCTGGCGCGCGGCGTGAGAGGGTGCTACGCCCCGGGCCAGCCGGCTCGCAGCCGGAGCTGCCCCGCGGCACCGTGCCGCTACCCTGGCAGCGCCAAGCGGACGGGCAAACGGAGGCGTTGGAGCACCCTAGATACTCCCCTCCTGTTCCTCTCCGGTTGTGTGTTGTCATTCCCCGAGGGAAGGACCGTTGCCCTCCATCCCCCTCCGCACTACTGAGCCTGCCCGCTGCCCTCCTTGGGCCTCGAGGCCTGAGGGGTGTTGGGCCAGGCACTGGGGCACCCTGAGGAGACGGGGGACAGCGAGGGGCCAGGGTGCCCTAAGGGGGGAGGGGGGGGTCCAACTGGACTGAAACAGGCACAGATGTTTTTTCACTCCGGTATAAATATAGGGGGAATGAATGACGTCATGGCGGCTGGGGGAGCACTCGGGTGTTTCCGTGCCGGCT